TCTGATGTTTTTTTCTCAATCCTATAACAACATGTTATGCAATCAACCAGAGGTATCCAATATCCTGCAAGTATTTGTCGTCTTTTGATATACATGCACGTCAGCCTGAATATGAAATAAACCTTTTACCACAAACTCTTGCTCCCCAACTCATTTAAAAGGATTGTGCAGATTAACAAACATTCCTTCCAGCGCAGGGTATAAACACGGCAATCATATTACACTGTCTACTCAGATGCATGCCTAATTATAGCAGTGTCTGTTACCATCATGATAGTTCAGAATCTGTCAGCATTTCCATTATATGCCTCTATTTTTAGGGTGTCTATAATCGACCATGAATATACACTAAAGCCTGAAACATGGCATGCAAGACTTGTGTTCTGGAGTAAGCTTCATTACTTGATTTTTGCTCTTCTGACTCCTGTTGTTACAAGCTCTAACACAGATTTACAATGCCTGTTTGTCAGTGAACTGTTCCGAGTATTATTTTATTTATGTATTTGCATGACTAGAGTACATGATTCTGATAGATAATATGGTTTTGTGACAATGAGCAGTGCTTAGGACCTTTAGAAAGCCAGGCTTCATACATGCTTCTCATGCAAATTATCCAAAATATGAGCCACAGACAAATCTTCAAGGAACAGAGCAATAGTCATACTTAATCTTACTCCTGCATTTCGGGGTCCAGTCTCACACAGTGACCAATGGCACTCAGGAACTGGCATTTAAAAACTGCTCTATACACTAGTGTATGATTTCACGGTGTGTTATGCCCCAGTAGCTAGAAGCCAACAAGCACTGACATAGGAGATTCAGAATCTGGCCCAAAGTTCAGTTCAACAATTATGACAATGTCTAGCATGCTTGTGGATGCTGAACCTTATTTTGAACCTACCAAGCTGATGCCCTGTGGCAGTGTAAGTGTCAAAAATCTTTTCTGCTACAAAGTTTTAATTCATGCTCATTTGTCCTTCACTACTCATCATCCCCCAATCAATCCCAAGATACTTCTTTGGCTTCTTCCATAGGTCTTTTGGTCCTCCTTGATACTACACTACTTGCACTTTATTTCGGATCACATTTTTGTAGATGTTTAGCTTTTAAAGAAAAAAAGCCACATAAGATTAGAGAAGAAGTACTCTTCTATTTCCTTTTTTGTCTCCTTCTCACCACTTTCCAGTAGAGAAGAACATGTATCAAGCACAACAACAAAAATTACAAATGTGTGTTTACACAGCTAAATATTTAAGGGGAAGACAGCATGAAAACAGCAAACAAAACAAAACTGTTTATTTTGTCCAATCAAGTTTCTGATGGCTCTACTAATATGTTTTTCTCTCAATACTAATAAATCACAACTTTAAGTGTAATCACAACTGTAAGACCATAAGTGAGTCTTAAAAAGCCAGCAAGTTTGTTTCACGTACAAACATGCACAGGACAGAAGTAATTCACAAACTTGATACAAATTATTTAGAATGCTTATGTTGCATAGTGAAAAGCCAAACAAATAGACAGTTGACTTCTTATTGGAAATTGGGCCTTACAGAAAAACGAGATCATAAAACACATAGTTTTCCTTCCTCCCTTTGCTGGTTCAAAGGAAAGCAGTCAGTCTTCTGGTTTGAAAGGACCAAAAAGTGACAAATAATTTGGAACACTGCGATTTGAGGGTTTTGGCACATTCAAAAGGGAAATATTAAATTGCAATTATTATTAAAGAGACACATTAATAAAGAATTAATATGCTCTCCTTATCTATAGCCTCTGAAACTATGCTGTGGTATAGCTGGGAAAAACAAGTTGTGGCAGTTGGGAAAAAAGCAGAAGACATGGACAAATTTGGTCTTATCGGATTACAGGCTAACTGAATGGCTCCTGTGCAAAGCCTTAAAAGAATACGACAAAGCAGAAGAGTCAAGGGTAATATCAATTGAAAAAGTCCTCCTTTATCCCTTATCAAGGGATTAATATTCAAGCCTTGATAATATGCTTTTCATCCGTAACTTAGCAATGAAATTTTCTTCACTAAACAAAAATGTAACCACAGTAAATCCTCCCAGCAAAGACAAGTCAACATTTTTTTATCAGTCACTGATTTAACATTAGATATGCTTTTGATTGGCTTTGTTAAAAAGCCTTTAAGTTTTCTATGTGCAACAAACAGCCTTACGCAAAAACGTATAGAGTTTCCTCACTTACACAAGTGTTTCAACTAATGCCTCTCACAGTGGAAAAACAGGGAATACTAAGACAACACATCTTTGCTGTTTTGAAACTCAGTTCTCTCAGGAAAGTCAGGTCTCTCTCTCAGTGCATTCACCCCTTTTGACCTTACATGACTTCCCAAACGCTTCAGTATGTATTCAGCATTAAATGGAAGATGTAATCCCTTTCCATACGTTGCAGCCATTATAGCACCCAGCTGCAGCGTGCCAAAGGTTCTGAACAAGACCAGTAAAAGAAACCATCACACAGAAAAGTTTCTGTATACCATACAAATAATAAAATAGGGATTACTTGTGAAATGAGAGCTCTACAGTTACTAGCTACGAATTAATGATTCAACCTAGGAATCAATCAATCTAAAAGTTCCCAATAAAATTTTAATGAAACTAAGACCTTAATAGAAGACTGAGAAGTCTGCAATAAGCTCTATTTTTTTCTTCAGGCTCATGAGAAGTACAAACTAGAGGAGGTTCAAGTTCTCTTCTTTCCCCACAGGGCCTCCAACTCTGAAGCACCTGAAAGGCCAGGAAACTCCACAAGGAATACTTCCAGGGTGTGCCACAGCAATGATCTACTTGTTTTGCTGGCCGCCCACACGAATTCACTCTAGAATTTTATCCCTTTCATACTTTTCATTTAAGGGATGTATCTGTTACATACCGAAGTAGTGAAACTTAGTGAAAGTCAAGGATGAGATAGCACAAGATGGCGCATTAATTCCTTTTAACAGACAGAGAAGACTCTATAGCAATAACAGCAAAGAAAAAGCATTTTAACGCTATTCTCAGTTTCTTGCTTCCTGAATGACCTTAGTGAATGACACTTCATCTATCTTCTCTGATTCTTTTACTGACTTAGAAAGTGCTGTGAGATAATTCTATTAGCATACTACTACTAATAATAAAAGACATAATTATTGTCCACCCTTTTGCCTTACGTCTTTGTCAAACAAAGCTACTTGCTGCAAATACAACAGCAATACTGTACTTGAGCATGTCCCATGTACGATTAATTTCTAGGTGTTTATACCTAGAAACACCATGGGGTGTTTCAATGTAATATTGATCCAAAGAGTGAATAAGTATGTATGTAATGATCTGGCCTCTATAAATATTACATATTTGTCTCCATGCAAACCAGGGAAAAGTACAAGCCATAAAGCTTTAAATAGCGTACACTCAGGCTCCATCATGTTTGATGACACCTTTTGCCCTGCCCTCCAACTACGGGCATCACTGCAGTCTCAGGAAAGACCACAGTGACTATTTCAAGAAGGATCTCCTTGTTATATTCAGATTGTACAGGATATCCTTCAGCAGAATAAGGTTACCCAGGTTTTCCACCAACATAAAAATAAGGCAGAATTCTGCATAAAGAATCTACACATTTCGCTACACCATATACTGATCACAGAACTGCTCACCACGTGGCTGAGGTTTTGCTGTTGTTTCTTTATATCTTTTTACAGGTGACTGAGACTCCAACAGCTATACAATTATAGAGCTAAAGGTCTTGAGTAGTTTTTACTTTTCCTTTTAGCTCAGGAGATCTTGGCAGACAGTGAAGATGTTTTTAAATACAGTACGTCTGCCAGTATTTTTAGTTATGATGAAGATGCTAAGGGATACTATGTCATCTTGAAACACACATCTGCTAGAATTATCAGTGTTTCAGTTGTACAGGAGACAACAGCGCAATGGTAATGATAACGGTGGTGTAGGCTATGGCTCAGTTTGTCAGGATAGCCAGGCCAGGCTGTCCTGCCCAGGCACATTGCACGTTGCCCAGGCAGCAGTGCTGCTCCCTGAGAACTGCCTAGGCCACCAGTAGCCAGGGAGGGAAAAGTCTTTAAGTAGGTCTGCTTATGAAAAGAGACCTTATCGCCTGGCAAGCAGCTGAATTGCTGAAATGCTGCTGGAACATAGAAAACTTGGAAAACTGTCGAACGCTCAAATATCAATTTTAACTTGTACTGCAAAATGTTTTTTTCTCTCAGACAGATAGAATTACAGAATGAGAAAAACTTGAATAATCACTTTAAAGCAATAACCAAATTCTTTTGCTCACTCTATTAAATGATTATGGGTTTAATTTTACACTGCACGCACTGTAATGACATGTGCTACTTACATAACTACTTCTACCAGAACACTTCAAATTACTTGTGTGCCTTCAGAGATCAGGCTGAGACGACATCTCTGAAATCTGTGTTTAGGTATTTCTATTTCAACTTCACTTCATAAATTGATGCAGTGACGCAGACAGTTCTAAGCTTGTTCAACAGACAGAATACATTTACAGAGCAGATGTAGTTTTAATTTACTTATTATTAATTTAAAATCTATTCCCATGATACAGAGACATCTACTGAGCTATCTGTTTTTAATATCACAGTAGATTCATCTTTCTGGTCCTGACACACCTGGCCTGTAAAGCCTTTTCTCAAATAAAGAAGAGGTGGGGAGGGAGGAGAGAGAGGGACAGAGGAACTAGGTCCTTTCAGCTGATGAAGAAATCCCTACATTGTAAAAGTTCACACAGACATCTGAATT